TTTTGTGAAGTAATAAAAACTCAATCGACTGAAGCCAATATTAGATAAGATGGTGGTAACATTATTATGACATGTAATATATGGAGATGAAATCGACAATAGAATAAATTAGTTAATGTTAAATCATTACCAGATATAGAACAACAAGTAAATGTAAATAGACTAAGCCATAATAAGAGAATATTACCTATGTTAAATGCAATAAAATAGATCGAACCAGGATTTTGACACATTGATTTTTGTATAAAAACAAAGATAATAAATATTCTTCCTAGACCGTCAAGAATAATTAATATTGGTTCATCGAATTTGTAAAGATTGGTTGAAATTATTTGATATGTAAGAACCATGCTTGATGATGACATGATGTATGTTTATTAATTTCAATCGATACTTAGTTATCTAGAAATAACAATAAGGCAATCGATTGTTTTACTTGAAATAGAATTCGATAGAAAATGTAATACATTATAGATTATTCATTCAAGTATGAAATTTTTCTGTTTCAGTAAAATGTATTCTCTGAATGAAAAATCAACTCTTTAAGATCATTAGTACTTATTCAATGACAATTTTATTAGTCTTATCAAAATTTGTCTACTGTCGAAAGATAAAAGCAAGAGTTAGAAAACAATTGAAATAGCTTCATCGTCTAGCAAACCACTGTTCTTGAACAATAAACAAAATGTTATAAGTCATATAGTAAAATATTGGTGAACTCAATCTTTAGTTTTTTCCTACAACATTTATCATAGGAAGATTGAGAAGAAAAATAATTACTCTATTAGTTTTCTAACAATCTTCATTACACAGTAGTACTCAACAAATCTCTATTCTTTTTTATTTTATATTATAATATAATGAGAATAATTATCAAATATATAACTAAATAATTGGCTGAATGTATCATTAATGACTGTCAACAGTGGGTCGACCAGAGGAAAGTTGTGATATGATTTCATTGATGGAAAATTTTTCTTGTCATAAAAGAGATGAATACGTTTTCGTTCATTATAACAGAGCGATTGTTTCAAGATAAGTACTAAGTTTTAATCATGGATATTAAGATTGCAATATATCGAGATCTATTTTAGCATGATCATATGGTTTATATGATTTCCTATGTTTCTCTAAGTATTTATATTATATTACTGATGTTCAGTATTAAGATATTTGTACTCAATAATCCATAGAATAATTTTGCAACAGTACTTGAATGAGTGTTGTTTTAAAGTTTTCAAGCCGATTGAAAGATATCTGAATTATCGTCATAGCAGAATGATAAATGAGTATGATTCATACTTAGACAATAGATATGAAGAGCATAACTATAATTCTATTAGTTTCTTCTTTCTTATATAAGATTTTTAACTGAAAAAGAATGTTACCAATAAACCTTTTTGACCTTCGTTATCGTCTGTTTATTCTTCAATTGCATTCTTTCTTTTCTCTACCATCCTCTAGTAAACCAATTGATCTCTGCATTACATTTCTATCTCAAAATACTTGTACAGCAAAGATTAGAAGATGATAGAAGAGATCTTTAGTTTTGTTCTAAACAAGACTATAAACAAAGAACGAACAACTACTATGGAATATAATTCTTTGCTACATTCTTTATTCTAAAAACTCTAAATCTCAAAAAAAGATCCACAAAATGCTAGTTAATCAAGGAACAACATTTATGTGTTAAAATTCTACTTATTTTTCATATTTATAGTGTGTTGCATTTACTTTGTTATTAATTTATTACAGTAATAATTTATTACTCATTGTTATTTGATATTGCTAATAAGTAATAAATATCGGAAAGTAACCAAAGAAATTATTAATCAAAGAATACGAAACTACTTAAAATATTTAGCTAATGAAAGGAATAATATAATTAAAATGAAAAAATGAACACAGAGTAAATAATAATAGTACTTTTGCATGTATATTGTTGTTGTCCAATATCAATATTTTTGGAAATTTTCGTACTTCACAAGCAAACTAGTGCTGTGATTTCGACCTTGTGTCAAAATATAGTTATGTATCTAAAAAATAATACGACTTTCTTCTTTTAAAATCACTGAAAATCGATATTTCTCTCAGATCGACAAGTATTTAACCTGAAGCTAGACAGTTAATAATGATTAAAAGTTGTAGAAATTGGTTTAACACACAAAGTTTGAATCTAATAAGTGACATATATTGTTTTAGGAAGTTATCGAAGAGATCGCAGACAAAATCAATTGGTGAATCAATTGAGAAATATATTGTCTAACTTGAAGTTATCCAATATTATATCGATTCCAAGTCATATAATTCGATGTCCATCTCATTGGTTATTATTCTACGGGTTAATTCTATTTATGATTACTCTGGCTGTCCTTATTTATATGTTTGGAGTTTTTAAAACAATAGAGAATAGCATTCATCTACCTTCTCAGACAATATACACAGATTATTCATCATTAAATGTTGATACACTCGAATGTTCCGATGACAACATTTCTATGATACAAGAGAACTTTATAACAACTTAAATGACAAGCAGTTCTTTGATTGATCGCGTAAACTTCACTTAAAACTACTGTACTAACAAAAAAAAACTAACAATAACACGATAGAAATTAACTTCATAAAGATAAAATATAATCACTTCATTTTATGAAAATACTGAAATATAACTTATATAGAATGCATATAAAGTAGAATGGAGATCTTAAGCAGTTCGTGACTATCGGATATTTGAAAACAAATCATCAAATAGGATGTGGCCAAAATTTTCACATTCGTTTAGTTTAAAGAAAATAACAAAGCTTCATTGAGTACATCAGTTCGAATTCTTCAAGAGACTTATGTTGTTCACAAGTATTTTTTCTCTCATTTACTGTCACCGTTCACTCTTCTCTTCAAATGGTATCATCCATACTCACACCTTCAAAGGTTTTATTTGTAAATGGTCAAATTTGACTTGGACTATAACTTTCTCTACAAGGCCACGTTTCACTAGACGTCATGAACAAAATTCATTATATACATAAAACATAAAGTTTCGATTTTATTTTAAGTATTTTGCATTAAATTGTTTATTATTTTTTTTTTTTTGGTTGTAATATTGGCATTTGATTCACATCAAAGATAGTGCTTTGCATAGTAATGTAAGTAAATACCATTGTGAACGGAACAGCAATGTCTTGATCTTCAGTATACAATGAAAAGAGTTGACATATGGCTTCAAAAACATTTGATGAAGTGTCTGAATTGTCGCTGATGTTTCATGATTGTTGAGCCGAGTCATAAAAAATGCATGTTCAAGGCAATATATACAATGCGCATGTGACCAACACCTGTGTATACATATTCATCAATGATGTGAGGATACATTCTTTTCTTCAAACACACATTCACAAGTGTGATCGCTGTTAACAAAACATAGATAATCCTGTTTACATATTGAGCGTTTGTGATTATAAAGTAGTACATCTCTTTTTTTTTCATAAGTATGGTCTTATAGAATTCTGACCTGATAGCAGAACGTCATTATATTTTTTGTACTCAAATATGATGTGAGGAATGGTGAAATGATATATTTGATATAAAAAAATCAACTGTTCAAAGTCACTATCCTTCGAAAACGCAGTCCCCTACTGTGAAAGACAAATTTAATAAAAAAACAGACTCCCGAACTTAATTTCATTCGGTTGAAAATGATACCAAGGATGTGACATAGCGAAAGTCATTTTCATCCTTGACAAAAAATAATGATGTAACAAACTGAAACTCTACAAAAATTGGCTATTAGTGCTATTGCTGATTTGAAGGTGTGAGCAAGTGGATGAATGTTAGACTTCCTTTCACCATACACCCACCCATACATCAAGCATATGAATCGAGAAATCTTGAAAATCACAAGTACTCTATAATTTTATTCATCATTTTGCATACTTTTGTTAGGCGTATCTACATTTTCATTGGTTACGGAAGAGAAAAAGAATTAGTTTAAAAAACCAAAATTAAGTAATAGTCAAACGGAGATTTTCGAGTAGAAATTATTTCAAATCGTTTCTTTTGCTGTCTACTGGAGTTGAGATGTAAAGGCAGTTGAAAGAACACCTTGGAAAAATGCTAAGAAATTCCAATATAATTTGACATTCTTTAGGAAACGACATGTAAACACTAGCGGTAAATTATAGGTGTGGCTATGTTGTCTGATATTGCACAAACTCAGTCCCAGTCCTATTTTCGTATACAGACAACAAGTTTTAGAGAAGAATCAGCACCATTTCTTCGAAGTATATTTTGCGTTTTGACTCACTTTAACTCAGTCTGCAATATTGATGACTAAACATATCATGTTGTTCTTCTTAAAAAAAAAAAAAGAAAACAAGAGTAAATAATCGATTCACTTTTTCATCTACCACTCACAATACTGCCATTTTTCAGAGGCTACAAATTGGTACATATTGTTTTGGTTGATTTGTTTCACATGATGAATGATCTAATTAAGAAATTTTCGGATTAAATAAATTTCAAATAAATCGGTTAATAACTTTAGAAAAATTTTCTGTAGCTTCAAGCATTCATGTCGACTATTGACATGGTAAGTAATAAAATTATTGTTGATAAATAGCTTAAGTAACTTTGTCGAAAGTGACTAAACGTCGAACAAAATTATTACTGAAGAACAAATTTATAGAAATCTGCTGTTAGTTAGTGTTCATGATAAATGAGCTGAAGAATCGTTTTGAATAAACGAAAGATCCTTTTGCACATTGAATCAACTTTGTATATAGAAGTATTTGTCTGTGCACCCTTATCTATCATTCAATGATTATTGACAAAGCAATTCTCGTTGTGCACGTGTGGGTATGAATAAAGAACGAAAGTCGTATGCAATACGCATTTCTATCATGGCAAATATGCAAATCGTTGGTAAAAAAATTGACTTGCAAAGTCATCGAAGAACATCACGACGAAATGGCAGGTTGTCAAGTAGCAATTATAGTAATATTATGACAAATAATGAACAAGTTTCCGAAATTTTAAAATTACCTATAGAACTTCTGTATTGTATTTTTGATTATATTGATGTACAGACAATTATATTTTCATTACGCCATACTTGTAGACAATTTCGTGATATAGTCAAATGGTACGATCGATACGTTCTCGATTTTGATTTAATTTCCATGTACCGATTGCGATACATTTGTCGTCTCATTCGACCGGACTCGGTCATTTCACTAAAATTATCCGATGATGTTAAAACACCGAAACAAATTGAATATTTTCTCTCACTTATTAATATTCGTCGGTTCACTCAACTTCATTCATTGACTATTACACAAGATTCTGAGGATTTATTTAACAGTATATTCGATCATGTCATCAATTGTCATTCATTTGTATCATTCTCGATCTATTTTCGACCTTCTCCTCCATTCAAACATCCTGATTTTCGTGATTATGACTTAACCGGTCCAACACTTGGACCTCTTGCATCCGTAATCGCTCAATCAAATTTAACGATATTCAAAACCAATCTTCGGTCATATCAATTAGATAAAATTTTATCACCAATTCAATATTCATTTCAACATCTTACCATTGGTAATTGTACTCGAAAACAATATTATATGATTCTACGCCATTCACCACATCTACAAACAATAGTTATGGAACATTTCAAAAGAAAACAAAATCAAGCTATTCATGACAGTGAAAGCGAGGAAAATGATCAATTCGTTTATGATTTTTATCATCCATTGACTTCACTAACATTACTAGAACATCAAGGATCGATTTTCGATCTTGAAAAGAGTCTCTCATTGACACCTACGTTAATGCATCTTAAAATTATAGGTGATATAAGTGACACTATCTTTTTTATGGACAGTTCTAGATTAGAAGAATTCATTCGTAGTAAATTGTGTTCATTAAAACATTTTGAAATATTTATTAATGGTTCCACTAATAGCGAAAACTTGTCGATCGATATGCTTATTGAACCATTTCGTACGTCGTTTTGGATCGAAGAGAAACACTGGTTTTTTACATGTGAATTTCTCTTACGTTTACAAAAATTTATTTTCTATTCAACACCAATACCAACGATAAATGCCAATTATTATTTCGGCTTCGAAAAAATTTCAACTTCTACCTTCGACAAACCGAATATGCATACACAAATGATGAATGGAGTGAGACATTTACGTTTCAGTCTATGGGACATGACATATTTCAATTTTCAAGAGGTATGTACTAGCTGTAAAAATAAACAACATTTCATAATTGATCAAAAAAAACAAAGGTCAAATTTTTAAAGTTCATACGATAACAAGCTATGTATCTTTTAAATGAAAACATAAATTTTAATACGGTTTGGGTATATGTGTTAATGTTGAAGAAGAGAAAGCTCACCCTCTAAATAATTTTCTTGGATATATTCAGAAGAGGAAATCATTCATTTTATATCTTGTTTTTTTCTTAACTAGATGACTGAAACAGATCATTACCTGTTTCCAAATGTTACTAATCTTAAACTTTGTTTTCACGAGAATTGGCCATGGAATGGAAACGAATTCGTTTCAACAATAATCAATCTTTCACATGTTACAACACTCGATTTTTTCTACGATGACAAGGCCGAAACTATTTTGAATCTAATAACTCAAATAAACAAATTGTTCGAACAAGCAGCAAATGTTTCCGTTCTAAAAATAAGAAGAGGTTGGTCTAGGACTCATGTGATAGATGTGAACGATATGTATTCAATAATTCCGCAACATATCAAACATATACAATTTCCAGCTAGTGATTTAGACGAAATGAAGAATATTCTCAATCGATTCAAACATCTATGGAGTATTGTATTCGTATGGCCAACAAATGAGATTATTCAAAATGAAGGAAACAACTGTGAAGAAATTATAAGATATCTCAAGATTATGAAAAGAAAATGTCGATATCGAGAAGAATTCTTTCAATTACAAATTTGGTTCGATGATAGCAGCTAAAATAACAATGTATTCTATTTAAACATAAAAAAACAACTAGGACAGATATGAAAAAATGTCTAAAGAACAGTTTATCAATAGTGATATAACAGTGATCTGTTTTAGTCTTATTCTGAAAAGATGCACTGAACTTTCAGAATTCGATTACAACTATTACTGTAACTATATTGAACACTTTTTTTAATTACAGAACATATTTGAATATCACATTCAATCGTTTTTTTTCTGCCAAACATCCAAGTGGCATAGTCACACTTTTTTTTTCCTACTTTGATGGATTCAGTTCATTTTGTTTTTTTTTTGTCTTCATTTTTCTACAGAATGGTAGAGTTCGATTTTCTAAACAAGCTTTTCTTGTCTATTTAATCTTGAAAAGACAAATATTTACTCAATGGCTGTATGAAAAGTCCTATTTTTTGGCCATATCAAACGATTGTTGTTAAGGCCTGGACTCTCTTTCCATCTTGAGTATTTCTCTTTTTAATCATTTTTTCTAAAATGTTGAATGACTAGAGAGAAAACCAAACAGAATATTGAGAAGAAAATGCACATGGAAGACAAAATATGATCTAATTAATATAATCGCCTCGTGTCGTAACAAACAGATCTTATCGGAATTTCATTATTATGATGTTAATTGAAGAATGATCAAATATCATAGAGATATAGATGATTATTTCTATTATCATTCTATATAGACAGAACATTGTTTTAAAGCTACTATCCGATATTGTAGTACAACTGTCACTACTTTTGGTATGTTCTAAGTATAGTTTTCAAAATTGTAAGCGTAATGCAACCAAAATAATTACACACTCAAGTTTTGCTAGCACTTTTCCAAAAGTTGTTTCTTGACGTGTATCACCATTCGTTACTATACTATCGAATCGAAGTATCAGAGTATCATTAGAATGTAGTCGAGTATCAAAATATGCAACCAAATCGAGGTCTTTTGGGCTTGATTTATGTTTTATTGACTGTAGGAGGAGTGGATTGTCTTTCTTCTCTTTACCTGTGAATTCTTGGTTTCATCACCAATCTGATTTCGAACATAGTATTCATATACACAATGAAAGATGATAGATTCAAGATTCAATGGGTATTTCAATAATATCAAAGAAGGTTTGAAATTCTGGAGTACCGACCGTTTCCGTCTTGTTCCCGACATCGAGAACAAAAACAAAAGAACTATTCTTCTAATTTGCCAAAAGAGTTCGGCTAGACATTGGTGTCGATAATTGCTGTTTTTTTTGCCTCTCTTACGAAGTGTGCCTAGTTTGTTATCTTCTCATGTGCTAAACATGCTTATCTTATCACATATTCATGTTCGAATATAACACACGTGAACTAAAGTTCTTAAATAAAGATTACATAAATATAAAAGTGTGTTAGTGAAAAAAATATGTTGCATGAAAAACATGAAAGATATTATGAGACAACAACCACTATATAATATGATATATCCAAAACAAATTTTCGTGCTTGCTCACCTTAACCTTTGTTCTTTTTTCTTGCAAAAACCTTATAAAATTCACCTGATTCTATTTTTTTTGTTTTGCTCAGTATATTCTTTAGAGTTTGAAGACGATTTCAATGCATACGTTCACTAAAATCATTCGTCTATTCATTGATGGCGTAGTTGATGACGCGAGTGCATCAATCGTAGATGTACGTGCTCGATCTATTGGTGAAGTCATCGGATGTCAAGTGTCTTCAAGTGGTCTTTGTACAATTCAAGTTACGCCTAATACACCAATGACAGATATAGAACTTCGACTTATCAAACATTTGACGTTTGACAAGTGAGTAAAAAATTTCGACGATTTTCTATTCTATATCAAACAAAGCCATCGAGTTAGTTTTTCGACAAAAACGAACTACAATGTACTCTAATACATTGCATAAAAAAAATTTTTAATGCATCGAATACAGATAATTACTAATTTTTCTTCTCATCTTTCCTTTAAAGCTATCGTGCAATGTTCGTCTTCGATGCTGAAGCTCCACATATAACTCGTACTGAAATACTTTTGGCTGGTGTACACAGACTCAACCATCATTATGTTTCTGATCGATTATATCAAGGCATTCAAGGACTTGTGTCATGTCGTTTCATGGATATCGATGATAGTGATGATAGTCGCATTGAACTAAAATATGATTCGAGAAATCTTAGTCGCTTTGAACTACTATCAATCATGCATAGTCTTGGCTATTCGGCACAAATTGATTCGAATGAGACAAGTTTGAAAGCTGGCATAGTTGTGGTACAGATACGTATTGAAGGCATGCATTGTAATTCATGTGTGTCGAATATTTGTGCCACGATTGAAGATCTTCCGGGTACTATCGATATAAAATTAACATTTGAAGAAAAAATTGCCACTGTAACTTATGATTCACGCATTTTAAGTCTTGCTCATATTGTAACTGAAATTGAAAAACTTGGTTTCAAAGCTGCCGTATCAACTGATCATTATGAAATCGGTTTGTCTCTCTTTTTTTACAATACAGATTCTAAAAAACAAAAACCATTCATAAGAAGTATTTTCTCTAATTGATTTCGGTAGAACCTTCATCATCATCTGAACTCAACAATCGAAATGAGCTTACAAGAAAACTACCAGCAATAACGAAGAAAAGTGATGGTATTGAAACATGCTTCATTCAAGTGGAAGGTATGACTTGCACATCGTGTGTTGATAGTATCGAACGAAATTTGTCAAAAGTTGAAGGTAAGAAAAAACACAAAAAATGTAGTACTCTTTTTGATGATATTGTCTAGATAATGTTTGTATATGAGATTTTTCTTTACTTTTTAGGAATTCATTCTGTATTAGTGGCTTTACTTGCCCAACGTGCTGAAGTCAAATATGATCCTGAATATTTATTACCATCACAGATAGCTGGCTTAATCAAAGATCTTGGATTTCGTGCTCAAGTACTTGAAATAACGACATCTGGCACTGATATAATTGATGTTAATGTATGTTTGGACATGTATAATGAGATTGCTTAACCGTTTATCTAATTGAATTCATACATATGAGAAAATTTGTAGGCCAAATCGACTATTTTGACAGCAATAAAACTCGTACTATGTAGTTAGCAAAATGTTAAATCCATATATTTGGATAGACTTCCAGGAGAAATAAACAGCGGTGATATAATCTTGGTTAAATTGATTTGAATTGTTGTATTTGAGAAAGACAGGCTCATGAAATAGATAGAAAAAAGTTGTTAGTATAACTCCTAAGAGAGTAACTTGTGAAAAAACAATGAAGCTACTTGATCTTTTTATGAGAATCCTATTTTTATTTCGAACTTAGAACGTGTATTAGAAAACCATCGTGAGAGCAAATAGTTTCCAAGATTAATAAATAGCTCAATAAATTATTATTAACATATTTATTTATAAAAAAAAAACATCTATGTTAAAATATAAATTCTTAAGTTCGAAATCGCACACTGTTTGTCACGTATCTATGAGAGAGAAGATTCAAATTTTTCGCTACGTACTTTCACAAAATATTGAAATAAATGAATAATTTATTGAATCTTATTATTGAAGATTGATGGTATGACTTGTGCATCGTGTGTTAGCAAAATTGAACGCCATATCAAAGCATTATCGGGTATTAAATCCGTCGACATAGCTCTACTCACTCATCGTGGTCGAATCAAATATGATGCTAGTAGTATCGGTCCACGAGATATTATCACTCAGATTAACGTATGTGAAGTCAAAAATAACGAATAGTCTGTTAAAATTCCACATTTACACATTTAGAATCTTGGCTTTCCTGCAACACTTTTGTCAGACGACTATAAGAGTGATGACATAGCTAAAATACAAAAAAAAACAACTAAAAAGTGATGTTCTTATTTCGTTTTTCCACAATATCGATTTTTTGCATATGACTTATTGTTTATAGGTGGAGAAACACATTTATCTTGTCTACTGTATTTGGCATACCGGCTATGGTTGCCATGTTTCTGTTTATGTTTAAATGGCAAGATCATGATAAGGCACCACAAATTCGAAATGGTCTTTCGCTTGAAAATGTAGTCATGTTTTGTCTTGCTACTCCTGTTCAGGTACAATGATATGTTTCATTTCGATAATGAACATTCTCATAGCATTTTTCTTCATTCATATTCGTTAGATCATTTGTGGTCGACATTTCTATGTCAATGCATATCGTTCGTTGAAGCATAAATCAGCAAACATGGATGTTCTTATTGTTATGGCAACAACTATCGCCTATGTCTATTCTGTATTAATCATTATTGTGAACATCATTCTCAAACTGGATAGTCCATTGACATTCTTCGATGTTCCACCAAGTATGTAGTATTTTCTTGTAAATTCAATTATGAATTATATAATATGGATCAATTTGTTCATGTTTAGTGCTCTTTCTTTTCGTTGCACTGGGTCGATGGCTGGAAAATATTGTCAAAGTAAAACATACTAGCAGTTTTCTATCTAAAAAAAAATCTTTAAGAAAACTAAGATTCAAATTTAAAGAACTTTTCATATTCTATTATCATTATATTAGTTGTCAAAGATAAATCGATGTCTATATGAATTTGCTTTAGGGCAAAACATCGGAAGCATTAAAAAAGCTCTTATCATTACAGCCTCTACAAGGTGTACTTGTTAAACTTGATGACAGAGGCAAAATAATCGAAGAGCAAGTGATTCTTGCTCAACTCATTCAACGTGGTGATCTTCTTAAAGTTGTACCGGGTGAAACAATTCCGACTGATGGTCGAATTGTCGATGGTACAACCACATGTGATGAATCATTAATTACAGGTGAATCGATGCCAGTAGACAAAGTAGTCGGTGCTCAAGTTGTTGGTGGTACAAAGAATTTAGTCGGCTCAATTATTATGCAAGCTACACATGTAGGTCAAGAAACTGCATTAAAACAAATCATTAAACTTGTCGAAGATGCTCAAACATCGAAAGCACCCATTCAAGAATTAGCTGATAAAGTTGCAGGTGTTTTTGTTCCATTTATTCTTATTATTTCATTTATAACTTGGCTCATCTATGTGATTATCGGTTATACGGCTTATGATAGTCTTAAGAAACATTCTAGTGTAAGATAATTTTCTATCTTTGTTAAATATTCCATATTTCGTTTGATTTTAACAGTATAGTGAATCTAATATGACACATTATAGTCAAAGCGAAATTGTATTCGAACTTGCCTTTCGATATGGTATTACTGTTTTATCAGTTGCTTGTCCGTGTGCTCTTGGTTTAGCAACGCCAACTGCAGTTATGGTAGCGACAGGTAATATATATTAAAGTTTGTAATAACTCGATTTCGATTTTCAAAAAAAAAAAAAACAAAATTGAGGACAAAAAAAAAGAATTCTATTCATGATTTGACTATTGTAGGTGTTGGTGCTGCAAGTGGCATTCTGATTAAAGGTGGCGAACCTTTGGAACTTGCAAGAAAAGTACGAACCATTGTTTTTGATAAAACCGGCACGATTACAAAAGGAAAGCCAAGTGTAGTCGACAAACAAATATTTATTGATGATGATCACTTGACACTTGATCGAATGTTGGCGATTGCAGGTAAATGAGAAATTTTCATAGGATTTTTGAAAGTTTCTTTCAATTGTATTAGCAACGGCTGAAAGTGGTTCTGAACATCCATTAGCGTTAGCAATACAGAATGAATGCAAACAACGATTTGGTACCGAGCAAATGGGCCAATGTTTTGATTTTAAAGCTACATGGGGTTATGGTCTATTTGCTCGCGTCACTGGTATTGATTGTCTTATACCACAAAGTGACACACTACGTTCTTATACGGTATTGATTGGAAATCGAGAGTGGATGATGCGAAACAATATTAATGTAAATGAACATGTTGATATAACAATGTCAAAACATGAACATGATGGTCACACAGCTGTTCTCGTTGCTATTGATGGTAGGATTCAATGAAAAGAGTCAACATCGATTCATTGCATATGTGATGCTTCTTTTCATTTTTGTATAGATATATTAGTCGGCATGTTTGCCATTGCTGATGAGATCAAACCATCAGCTCCATTGACCATTTTTGCTCTTAACTCACTTGGACTACACACGATTCTACTAACAGGTGACAATATCAAGACTGCACGAGCAATAGCCGCTAAAGTTGGTATCAAAACTGTTTATGCTGAAGTATTGCCTACGCAAAAGGAACGTTTTATTAATAAATTGAAAGAAAAAATGGATCCAGAAGAAAAAGTAGCGATGGTTGGCGATGGCATTAATGATTCACCAGCACTGGCACGAGCTGATGTAGGTATTGCAGTAGGTAGTGGCACTGATGTTGCTGTAGAAGCTGCTTCGATTGTTTTGATTCGTGACGAATTATTTGATGTTGTCACTGCTATTATACTATCAAAAAAGACAATTTGGCGTATATGGATCAATTTTATTTTTGCCATTGGATACAATGTAATTGCCATACCGATTGCGGCTGGTAAGAGACTCTTTTTGTCATAGTCACTTTCAATGAGCATGCCATCATGATTGAACTTACGAGTCTATTGTGTTGTATGATTTTTTAAAGCGACAGACAAGTTGAGATCTATGGTTACAAATCAACTCTTCGATATCTCAATTGTTTAGACATTGGAACATTTTATAAAAATTTTGTTTTTTTTTTGAGTTCAAACAAAAATTTTCAAATATTTATATTAATACCGATGATAATTTAATGTCGGACTCCCAAATCTTTCGAATTGAGAGCATTTATTCTTTTGGAAAAAAAAAGTGTGACAAAATAAATCTACTAAATAGTTCAAAATAGAAAGGGAAACTGTTCATATTCATCGGTCAAAAGAATCAACAAAAAAAAAAATGTATCGTGATGATGGCATCGGATGTGAAAATTGTAGCAAAATGTTTTGCACCCTTTCACTTATTATACTTTAATGCTTAGGTGTTCTTGTTCCTGCTAATATTCACCTTAAACCATGGATGGCTTCAGCTGCGATGGCTCTATCATCCATTAGTGTCGTTCTTTCTTCACTTTTGCTGCGTTACTTTCGTAAACCACAAATAAGAACTTATGAAAATAGTTCTTTTCAACAGTGGTGTACCACCATGTCTGCTGATATTGAAGTTCATCGTGGCATTGAGAAGGTGGTCGGTAATAGTTGCCATACAAGTCCGGCTAGTTCGCGTAGTGGTACTAGTAGCAAATTATCACAGCTGCTCATTGATGCTGTTTCAACATTTGTCAAGCAAAGCTTTGGTGATAAAAATAAAAGCAAACCTGTCACCACTATGGACGACACTATCGGCTTAACTATATTCAAGGCTTAATTCAATATGACATAGAACCAATCCTTCGTTACAAACCAACTCATATCGAGACATCTATTTAGTTTTTTATATCGCCATTTCATTGATAATAAAACACTAACTCGATGGGCAATGATTGAATTGATGTACATAGATGTATGATGATGATGATGATCTCAAATCTTGAATAGTGATTTGAAAGAAAAAAGATTCAAAATCTTATAATATATACAAAAAATAATTGGTGAAGTACTGTTGTACTTACGTTCTTGCACACACGTACTGAAATAGATCAGATCAAATTAGCTTCATAAGATCTCGTTTCAAAATCTAATACTTCGAATTGATGAAATAAAATCTGGGTGCGCGTGTGGATGTAAGTGGTAATGTTCTCTTTGCTTGTAGT